GAGGAGTGGGCCACCTGCTTTGGCCTCAAGGACCGTGAGTACCGAACACCTGACAAATCTAATACGATCCCTCGGGCTGTGGGACAGAGTTTTTGTACAAACAGAGAAAACGCTTATGAGGTGACGTTCAGCAGCTCATCAGCGTTTCGGGGTTTTAACGCATGAGTGTTTAACACATCTGCACTGAGCGTGATTACCTGGAGTAAAGGTGCCCATCACAGGAGTCTGCATCCATACAGGGAATCTCTCGCTCACCACTCATAGCATCCGAGTGACTTCCTGTGGTCCCGGCTCCTGTGTGGATGCAGCTCCAGCGTCTCTGAGTCTCGGGCGGGGGGTTAGTACCACGCACACATTCCAAACCACTGGAATGAGTGTGCTGGTCTCTGAGTGGGTGGGGCGTGACGCGACGAGCTCACTGTTCTGACTGTGTCCTCTCTGTGTTTCTCGTCTTTGTGTTTGCAGAGGATGTGGACAAAGATCTCATCATCTGAGTCGCTCTGACCCGCAGCAGCAGTATGACGTCTCTTAGTCGCTACTAACGGGAAAAGGTGCTGATCCCTAAGTTAAACAAACAAATGACAGTAACGGTGCTAATTGCATTTCTATTTTTTATTTCTCAAATAACGGCCTTTCCTACCTATACCACTAAAATCAATTAGAAGAGAGAAATGTGCACAGCCTGTACTAACCCGATGTGTTCACGGATCTTTGGATCGTCCATGTGTGGAACAAAAAGCTCCTATAAAAAACAAAAGACCTCTGATGTAAATCTACGTGTTGCCAGTGTTGTATTCATGCTGCCGTGTCTTCGGGGCTTTAATTGGAGATGGCTTTGAAGTGTTGTGAGCGGACAAAGCTGTAAATTGACAATAAAGTTTGGAAATAAATGCTCCCTCTGCTTGCTTCCTACTAAAATGAGCTGTTTAGTTTTTGCACTCTTTCGGTGGTGGACTCTTTTTTTTTTTTTGTCATTTGATGTATTTTGGTTTTTGATCTTATGACTACTGCTACACCAGTACAAATATTTGAAAGCAATAAAGAGGATATATTGTTATGACGAGGGGAAAATCTCGCAGGCTGAGAGTTTTTCTCATGTTTCTAGTGACGCTGAGAGCCGGAGCGATCTCTTATCCATGAATAAAACACTATGAAAATATCTGAAAATCTCTGCATGCGTTCGTATCTGCATTTCTTTCTCCCGTTCTCTGGAGCTTTTACTAAAGCCATCTGATAAATCATCACGAGGAGATCCGCTTGTTTATGGGCACGTTTTTGGGAGAAGGATGTCCTCTGTGGTGTCTCCTAACTCCGCCTTTTGCAGCTTTAAATACTCTGATTCCCAATTACACCCCCCTCTTTTTAATTTTTTTTTTTTTTATAGTCTTCCCTTTGCCCCCGATGCAGTAAATAGTTTAAACTTTTTCACCACCACTATGAGTAGTGTGGAGGATTAGTAGAGTGGAGCAGACCCCAGTCCCTCTGGCGATGAACAACTTTTAGCCAAAACGTTGCAGCGCATCATGCAAATGACCTGAAGCCCTAAGATTCAGAGCTGCCAGCTGTGAAGTGGAAGAAGAAGAAAAACAGACGGTCCAGGATTAGGCACATGCAAAGTCTGTATATAAAAGATGGCTATAGCAGCTATGACCACACCGCCGTTTCCACCGTCTCCACCATCTCCATCTTGGTGGCAGAAAGACCTGGATGTGATGACATCGTGCATCGTGCTCATTGGCTACTCACCTGTGACTGACAAGTCGTGAGTGAGCGGTTTGATGTCACAGTTAATAAAGTCTGATTAGGATTTTCAAAACAGGCTAAAAAATTTTATTCAGTGGGACCCAAAACAGTCTACAGGGGTCACAAAGCTGAAGCCACAGCTATCGCTCCCTGGTGGCTTTTATCATGCATCAAAGGTTGGTGCAGAGAATCAGGTAGATATTTTTGGAGAACCACAGAAACAGCTGGATTTTACAATATTTATTCAGTATCTTCAATTTAATCCAGCTGTGGGTTACGTGTGCACTGACGGCCTTTTTACTGTGATTTCACTCAAAAGTTGTCATATTTTCTCAAAAACAAACAAAACCTATTTGAAACTGTGACTTCTTCAGCTGTAAATATTATTGTTAGACAAGGTGAACGTCTGAAATGATCCAATGACATTGAATCTCCAGACGGAAGCCTTCTGATTTAACATTTGCAGGGTTTGTGTTGTATTTTTCCTACAGCTGGTCATATCAAAGCCACACGAGGACCACAACTTTATTAACAATTATTTGACATAAAGGCTGAAAATGAGACTAAAATTGAGAAATCACTGTGAAAATGCAGACGATTACAAGCCTCTCTTTTGACTGCACTCATTAAAACACAGGAGTGAGCTCGGAGCATGAGTGCAGGTTTGTGCTCACAGACTCGCAGCGTGAGTGCACGAGTTGCAGCTGCGTGCCTGCTGACTGTCTGCAAAGCTGCTCGTGGTCCCCCGGGAGACCGGAGAGGGAGAGGTGGTGCACCCGATTACCATCTCCACCCGTTCATCCAGACTCCAGCGTCAAGTATGTGAAACAACAGCCTCGCCTCGTCCACAAAGATTCCAGGCCCGCCTCCGAGCCGCAGGGGGAAAAAAGCTGTGAGCACAGCAGCGATTTCATCCAACAGACGAAGGTTTACTGAAAGTTTGAGTCACTGCAGCTGATGTAAGGCTGGGAGGGGGGAGAGGTAGGTTTGTCCCGTTTTAAACAAGCAGAGAATATGAAGCTCAGTCCTGCAGAGGAAACAATCCTCATCTAGACAGAATAAAAGCCCTCTGTGCTGCTGTGAGGCCCTGTGTGCAGTTTAAGGTCACTTTTAATATGAAAAGGACCATAAAATCAGGACCATAAAACTGACTAAAACAAACTCTGTGCAGCAGCCCATGGCCGTTTGTATTTTTGATATAAATGTCCAGTGATTGGCTGATGTCACCGCGGGGCTCTGACTTTTGTGCAGCTGTGCAAAAGTCAGTGTGGGTTCGAGTCCAGGCTCGTGGTCAGACGGTGTTTGGAGGCTGCATGGACGAGCACAGAGCCTCGCAGCTTAAGGCGTTGCTGCTCTGAGCACAGCCCAGAGCCCCAAACAGAGGAAAGACGTCCTCTGCTGGTGCTTCCTGATCCTGAGGCGGTGACTGAACAGCTTTCGTTACTCATTTATTCCCAGTAAGTCCTGCTCGCCCCTGGCGTGTGCTGCCACCTGCTGTTAATGCGACAGTTTAGTCTTCCACTTGGGGGGATTAGCGTCTATCCCCGCCATATTTATCAAAAATATTTTATTCATATAAAAATAATTTGGAAAGATGTTTCACTGCATTTTTGACTTCAACATTATGAAGACAGATAATAGAAACAATTACATTTCATTTCAGTTACAATTTTGGTTTCCAGCATTTACTAAAACGAGATAAAGCGGCGCTCTTCATTGGACCCGTTGATGGTGTTCATATGACCTCGTGTAAGATTCACGTAGGAGAGCAGAGCTAACAGGAGGAACAACCTCGTTCACCGTCATGTCAGGGGAGGGGCAAACACATTAAGCCACGTCTCCTGTGGTTATCATGAACACAGTTGGAAGTGAAGACTCTGACCTAAAACAATTTCCCGAATCTTCAGATTTCCAGCACAAAGCTGGCGATCTTTGAAGAAAGCACGGAGAGAAGCCGGTGCTGCAGTGCTGCAAATAAAAGAAGTTTAATTTAAACTTCTTTGAAGGTTAAACTGAGCCCATCCCGAGGTTTGTCTAAACACAAGAAAGTTTTCCTGCGGAGGAAACCAAAGCTTCTGGATTTATATGAAAAACTTTTTAGTAACGAAATTGCTTTTATTCTGAAAATAACAAATCACGGACAAAAATGTTTGAACTTTTGATTTCTTTAAATTCAATCTGCATAAACAAAACAACCCCAAACTGAACCGCTGTGAGAGCAGGGGCGCAGGTGGAGGTAGTGACGGTGGGTGGAGTTTAAATACCCGGGGTCAACACATCCACAGAGAGGCGGAGAAAGTGCAGGAGATGAGTGTCAGGTGTGATTTATGACAGAAAGAGAAGTGGTAAATATGGAGGTGAGACCTGCTGTGAGGGTTGGAGATAGCGGAGGCTGAGATGTTCAGTGAGCAGTAGACTTGTAGTCAAGACCGCCTAAACCAAGACCAGAGGGTATCGAGACCAAGACAGACCGAGTCAAGACCAAGACAAAGTCGAGACGAGACCGAGACAAAGGTCTTTAAACTGCAGCCAGATGCTGCTTCGTTTACGAGTGTCAGGCATATTTATGTTTTTGCGATGCACTCGCACAGCCCTCCTCACCGCTGTCTACTGTCTCACTCACTTACTGACAGGACCGACGCACGCTCCACTTGACTGTCGTGTCTCTCACCCTCTCTGTTTTTCACATAATGATATTATCCTATATCCTCGCATGTGATTGGCCACAATATGGAGGGATTGGAGCATAGCTGAGCCACTGTGTGAGAGCTGAGCAGCGAAAGGAAATCAAGTGAGGAGCCGGCTCTCGCTCAATGGGAGTCGACTCTTCAGATTCACTACAAAGCACTCTCTAAGCACGGCTCTGAGAGCTGATGCTTATGCGCATGACACATTATCGAACGTTACGTTGTGTGTCATGGATACTGTTGACTCCAAATCTCCACTATGTCGATCTGAGACAGCAAGACAGAGACAAGACCGAGGGATCCGAGACCAAGACAAGACCAAAGTCCGCCGAGACCAAGACCACGTAAAAGTGGTCTGGAGACATCCAACTCTAGTAAGCAGGATCAGAGGGTCTGAGCATGTGCGGAGGAGGGAGGGTGGAGCTGCAGGCAGGAGGAGAAGAGAAAGAGCTCAGAGGAGGTTCGTGGATGAAGGGACATGCAGAGGGGTGGAGCTACAGAGGAGGATGCTTTACTATCAGCAGAGTGTAAAGTAATGATGTCATAGACGTGGAATAATCACAAACAGTCTCACGGTTAATTTTTTTTATTTCAGTATATTATTTGTGACGAAAGGAGAGTTTCCTGTCTCTGCAGAAAAACCAAATCAAACCAAACCAATAAAAACGCTTTGAATAAAAGATGACGGAAAAACGTGAGCAAAGCAAAAACCCAAATGAACAAAAAGGAGACAATGAGAAATGATCAGTTATTATTCACACTTATTCTCTGAGCATGATTCAAACACCCCGTCACACAAACTGAAGACAGAGAAGGCCGTACTCTACGTGAACTCTGACAATAGCTGCTCTCCACAAACACACAAACAGTTTTAATGTTTCTAATGTTTCAACTCGCTGTGAACTTTACCGTCTGTTTCCAGGACGATGTCTACTTCAGTTAAAACAGGAAGTGACCGCACCATCCCTCCGAGCTGCTCGCCGTCCCCTTAAAGTTTGTACAGCCTGACGTGTTTATGTCACGAGCGACGAGCAGAGTCCTGATGGGTGAACGCAGCAGTAAATATTTTATTCTGAGGTAAGCTTATCAATTTCCTCTGACGTTAAACTAAACTGTCAGCTAACCATCAGAACGAAGCTTCACAGACGCCATTGAGTAAACCAGGGGGCGTCGACAGGCTGATGGAGAGCATAGACACACACACACACACACACACACTAAGTTGTTCTCTGAAATAGAAAAAAAAAAAACACTTTCAGGAAATCCTGGATTGAACTGAATGATTCTGATTGGATGGATAAAACAACGACGAATCAAATCGATCAGCCTGCGGCCAAAGAGTCCTTTCTATTCCCTCATGCGTCTCTAACTTCCTGAAGGCTGCAGACACAACCAGAGCCGCTGAATCCCACCAGCACTAAGGAAAGGAGCTTCTAAGCGTCCTTTATCACCTCCTTCGGCAGAGGAGACAGAGGAGGCGACGACGAGGCTGATTCGTGTCTGCGGCAGAACGTAACACGAGAAACTGACCCTAACATAACAGACGTGATGTGGATGTGTGTAAGATGATCCTCTCGTCTCCACGGCAGACCCACGTTAACACCATCCACCATCGCTGTGAAGCCGGCTGAGTGGGAGCGGTCAGACTTGTCATGTTTAACGTCCAGCAAAACCAAACAAATGAGGGATGTCTGTGAACTGTTGGACCGCAGCCCGAGGCTCCGACTACAATCTGAAGCCTTCCCATTGGCTGTGATGACTTCTTTACACGAGTTTGTTCCTCACAGGTCGGCACTAAACCAGCACCAGCTCTCCTCTGTAATAAGAAACCATCTTCATGGATCGAAGCCACGTGCACGTTCTCTGCAGCAGAACACACCTGATCAACAAAAAGCAGGCGTAACACGCTCTTTAAGAAAACCCCCCCCAAAGTTTGTCAATAAAAGGAAATCGAACCCTGCAATCATCACCTCCCCCCCGCAGTGCTTCACAGATACAAACATTCAGACCATCTGTAGAAAACAAATTCACATTAAGTGTGCTCAATCCATCATCAGGAAACAGTTTATTCCTCTCCAGTAAGAACACCAGTCTCATCCTCCTCTGCCTCCTCCTCCTCTTCAGTAAAACCTTTTGTTCCTCTCCTGTCTCCTCTGGAAAACCACAGCTCCCACCACGGCACACACCACGATCCCCAGCAGGGCGCACAGCAGCAGCAGAAACACCTTCCAGCCAGTGAGAGGCGTGCCGCGGAAGTTTCCGGTGGGATCATCGATGTTGTCTGAGAAGGAGGAAGAACATCCACCATCAGTTTACTCCATCTGGTTTTAACTGTGCTTTTAACTGGAATGTTTTAGAAGTCTGAGAAACATCCCGCCCCCTTGTAGCCCTGCTGAAACACTCTGAAGCACTTTACTCTAAATAAAGTTTTGGGTATTTGAATCTACCTTTAGGGGATTTGAGGAGGCTGACGCTGGGCTCGATCTTCGTCCAGTCCAAGTTCTCCTCTTCAGCCGTGTGTTCCACCATCAGCTGGTAGAGCTTCATGGAGATGATGTCATGGTTATCTGTGACGAGTCGGTGAAAACACTTCGAGGTTTAAGAATGCGATTTTAACAATCAGTATTCCTCCTTCACCGGCAGCTCAGACCTACCTGACAGGTCGCCCGTAGCTGCCGAAGCCCCAAAGAAATATCCCGTGGGAAGACGAACTCCGCCGATGTCGATGCACTCCTTCCACTCGTTCTTGTCGTCCACGTCCACCATCACCTGCCGGGTTACAGAGGGGAGGCAGGACCAAAGGTAAAAACACTGCAAAGCTCCACCTCAAACGGCAGCAGAAACCGAAGGTGCGGCCACTTACCGTCAGTCGCCCTTTGGAGTAGCGGATGGCGAGGTACGTGTCGTGATCACGGTTCCTGATCTCAGCAGAGCAGCCTCCCAGCTCAGACGAGCGGCCGTCTTTCCCATGGTCGTAACTCACCGAGCCGTTGTTCACCATGGCCGAAATGTACGGGAAAGAGCGCTGGCGGCGGACAGGAAATGATCAGTACACAAGTCCTACACAGGCATTACACGCTTCAACAGGAACAACAAATACATCACATAAAAACAAAACATGTCCACATGACACATTTGAGGTAATCGGCACAAATCGCGATGGCGGTTGGTTGCGGTTACAGTGACGTTCACTTCCTGCTGAGCGTTTGAGCTCTGACGAGGGTAAAGGTCTCATTAAACACTCGAGTGCTTTTTCTCTCCTTGCTCTGATCCGACTGAAAACAGGGAAAACTGAACTGAAGCCTGTGTCAGGTCAAAGTCACAAACCTCAGCTGTTCTTCTGGGAGCAGTGTCTTTGTTTAGGAGACAGAACAAGGTGCCGAGCACATCCAGCCTCTGTACTGCTCACCAACAAGGGCGATACAGTCACAGTACTCTGATTACAGAGCTCTGTCTTATGCTTCGAGTGGAGAGGATCCTCTGACATTTTCAGACGCACTTAAAATGACCGCACCTCGGCCACTAGAAGGGCTGCAGAGAGGCATGTACGCTGGAGCGAGCATTGGGGTTTCAGGTCGATAATACCCTGATACTATGTGACTAAGGCAGGGGTGGGCAATTCCAGGCCTCGAGGGCCGGTGTCCTGCAGGTTTTAGATCTCACCTTGGGTCAACACACCTGAATCACATGATTAGTTCATTACCAGGACTCTGGACATGTTGAGGAGCTAATTGAGCCATTTAAATCAGCTGTGTTGGTTCAAGGACACATCTAAAACCTGCAGGGACACCGGCCCTCGAGGCCTAGAGTTGCCCACTAAGGGCATTCCCAACATTAGCTCTGAAAGCTGTTCAGATTAGGGGCGCGTTCTGTGTCGTTTTCCTGCTTCTTCTGCGTTCATTTGGACCCCACACAAGTCGTTTCTTTCTTATTGCTCCCTCTGTTAAGCATTTCGTGACTGTTTTTTAAAAATCAGAGAAAGATTTCTAACAATGACCGGGCTGCAAAGCTCAGATTGTTATCGATTTGGTCTGATCGATACACACACACTGTCTAAAATATCAGTAATAGCATCGTAATCCAGTCCAATTTAAGATATATCAAAGACATTTAGTTCTAAAAATGTAATTTACTGTATTTCAGACATTTGCAGACTCGCTATGGCTGTTAACTGTATTTCTATTTAAACCGGGGCCTTTTCTATGTGAGTGACACAGAACAGCGATAAGGTGACACATCAACAAACAAATGTTCTGTCACTGACGCTGAAGTGGACCTTTTCTGCTTCTCCTTATGTCCTGCCATATCTTCTTTTCAATATTAAACATGAACAGAGTTCTTAATGATAAGGTCAGTGTATGCACAAGTAATCCCGTGTGATGTCATAGAGGGGAGATGTCATTATAGCCCCACCCCACCCCACCCCACCCCGGCCAATCAGACTTGGAAAGGAGAATGGCGAATAGGTCCACTTCAACAGGCCTGCAGCGTTTCACAACGAGGAGACAGACTGTGCACTGAGACAGCATGCTGACGGGGAAAACCTGCAGCCACTCACATCTGTCGCATCATCGTTAGAGTAAGTATCTATAAAGACGGCAAGCCCGTGGAAGACGGCGCTGTTGGAAAACACGGGCCCTGCAAAGAAACAAGCTGGTCAGTCACTTTGGCACACATGCTCGCACACACACACTTACATCCATCCCATGGAGGTCATTGCGGAAGGTATCCAAAAAAATAGCCAGGCCAAGAAACTGATCCTGGTTTCCAAACACAGGGCCTAGGATGGAGGCAGAGATGAGGCGAGACGTGAGCGAGACGCTATGTGAGGTCAGCAGTGATGAGATGACAGACACGTATGGAGTGACACACACACACAGGTTTGGATTTACAGCCGTCCTTCTGAGCTGCAACACTTTACATGCTTTTTCCTCCTGACCATGAAGCGGTTAACCGGCAAGAAGGGGCCCACACCGCAGTACCTCAGCCTCACAGAGCTGCATGTAGGGCTACGTTTACTCACAGCAAACACGCCGCAAAGCCCGACTCGAACGACTATGCCGATGACTATCTCATCACTGTTATGTCGTATACAAAGAGAAAGAGCTCCACCTTCAGGGAGGTCAGGCTGCTCAGCATCTACACTTTGCCTTCTTAGGCCTCAGTTTGGTTGCAGCAGAGAATTTCGGGTAAATCCAAACTCTATATGAAGCTCCTTCACACCAGCCGGACCTTCGCAGTGAAGACCCGGTGTTACCTGAGTGCAGCCTGTCCTTCGTGTACCAGAGAGCGATGCCGTCACCATGGAGATTCTTCTTCCCCGAGCCGTGGATTTTAAACTGCACGTGCATCTCCCAGTCCTTCAGGTAACAAGGCTAACACAGAAACGAGCCGAGGGTTAGACGCTATTGAGCCGAAGCCTACAACTCCTCGTCTCAGCGAGGAGGCTTCAGCCACAGAGAGAGGACATTTTTAACTTTAAATGATTCTCTGTGATCGCGCCTCGCCTCACCACGGTGTTCCAGATGGATCCCTGCTTGCTCCTCTCATCTGGAGTCAGGCGGACGTACGAGCTCGTCACCAAAGTGCTTCCGGAGAAATCCCACTGGCTGGATGGGCTGCTGCCGACACCTGCGGGAAAAACAGGCAAACGCTCAGACACACATGAGCAGGTTAAGACACTGCTGTGTCAATACCGTCACTCCCGTTTCACACTCAGCAAACATTCACACCTTCTAAAGCTCACTAATAATGTGGCTACACTACACATACCAGCGTGGCTACACTCTTGGATTAAGATGTAATCATAATGTTGTTAAACTTGCGTAATGACATTAAAGAGTGTTCAATCTAATCTGGAGGACTCACACCAAGGCACTTTTAAAGCTTCTTTTGAACACTGTGAGCCACTTACACCATGTGTGAATTTGATTCCCATGGTTTGACTCCTGGTTGAACTCTGTAATCAGACATCCTTACACGCTCAACAGGGAGGGTGGAGCTGATTTTGTAGAAGAACTAACTAACACGCGCCTGATAAACTTGGAAAGGAAAATCAACTGTTTGCTGATGATATGCAGAATTATTTATTTATTTAATAAATTAAATAAATATTTCGGCTGCAGCATCGCTGCCTGCAGGAGGGGCTGTGGGGGTCAGCTGTAACGTGTCTGACTCATGTTAGAGCACTTCATGGGCTCTGGAATCGGTCACCTGAAGGGCAGCTGTGCGCTGAAGCAGTATGATCAGGAGGAACAGCCCGATCTGTCACTGGACCTGTGTGCTAAAACGGTGTGTCTGTGCTGAACACCATGTTTAAACATGTCCGTAAGTGCATGTGGCACCAGGGCGCCCTACGTTGCAGGTCCATGATTGATTCTGTAATCGTATCATCAGATCTGGGGCGTATGTTCTGGACACTTGGCTGAAGGAAGTAGCTGACCTGTCACCTGATCACCGCCTGGTGCTGAGTTGGATCAGGTGGTGGGGGAGGATGCTCATACCCATATACATAGTCAGGGTGTGCTGTGAGCATCTGGCAGAGGTCCTGGTCCTCAGGATCTACAATTCCCAGTGCCAGCAGAACCTCAACAGCATTCTGAAGGACAGCAAGTCTGAGTGGACCATGTTTCTCACGTACATTGCTGAGGCAGCTGACAGATACTGGCAGGCCAAATGAAGCGTGGCTGCAGGAGAGCCGCTGAAGCAAAAACTCAGATGTGGAGGAGGATCAGCATGAAGCAGCTCTGACAAGCAGTTAGGTGTCTCCTGCTTCTTATAAAGGACACTGCTACTCTGAGCACCCAAAGCACCTGTCATCTTACACCTGCCCACCAGAAGATCGATCCTGCCTGAGAATAAATCTGCACATGAACCTGAGTGACCACAGACTGGTGTGTGTGTGTGTGTGAGTTAGAGACTGTACACACGTGAACATGCTCAGATCCGGTAAATATCAGCATATCAGCAGACTTTCTTCAGTGAAGTCCGAATTACTCGATTAAAAGCAGCCTCAGAAATGCAGAACGATTTTGGTATTCACCGAGACGATCTTCAATTTGTTCCCGTTTCTGTGAATATTAATATTTCCATGCGATGACGCAGACATGCTAGGATATGTCTCGCAGTGCGCCATTACGCAAATATGTAGGACTGATTTTCTTCACTTGCGCAAATCTCTAACCTTAGCGATGCGAAGAAACTAGTTCATGCTGACTGCAGCCTATCATTTAATAATCTGTGTGTAGCTTCCTGATACAAGTGAGTCATATTTGGTGTGTTTTCCTGTCAGGAACTATCGATCTTCCAGCTCCCCAGTAGCGAATGTTTTGGGGCTTTTAGCCCCGCAGGAGGACACTCTGCCACACGGTCTTTAAAAGCCCGTAAACATTCAATGTAAGATGAGTGTACATGCAGGCGGCTCGGAGCCTCCGCTGGGCCCGAGAAGCCGCGGAGACGTCCCCGAGTCTGCGGGCTAGCTCCCGGGCTAACGCCCCTACCTTGGTACGGCTTCGTTAACGAGTGCTCCCGCTTCAGGTGCTCCGCGTTTCCGTCCGTGATGTCACAGCAGACCAGAGAGAGCTCCAGCAGCACGAAGAGCAACGCTGAGCCCCGAAACGCTCTGCAGCCTCCCATTTTACCCGAACAGCACCGAGAGAAACTCTCACCGCCAAGCTTCTTCCTCTAAGCTAAACTCCATAAACTGGTCCGTCCGCTGTTCTCATCCGGACTGAAACAACAAAGTGCCACATTTATAATCACCCCGACGATTGTTCGGTGTCATTCTCTATCCTTTGAAATTTGCACTCATTAAATATAAAACCAAACAGGTACAAAGGCTTTGATTGGTGAGATACAATAAAATATAATGACGAAGATGAAACGTTAAGCTGTCCGCGTTCCCATACGGAAGGTTTTTGTAGATGGTAAAGATTTTGCTAGCCAATCAGAAACGAGCACATCGCAATTTAAGCCAATCAGCGATGACGTTGTTTTTCTATTACTCGTACACTAGATGGAGACAGACTGCCGGAATTTAATAACAGACTGCGGTCATGTGAAGGTTTGTATTCTTCAGTCAGGCTGAAAACAATGACGATTTTAGCTTTACATAGAAGAACAGAGTTGTAGTTTTAGTGCGTTTCCATTACACTTTGTCAAACCACGGGTTGTAATTAACAATATAAGTCAAATCTGAAATAAGTTTCCCCGTGTGCCCCTCATGGAAACTTTACTCTATAAATGTAATGTATTTAATGAAGCCATGCAAATGTTACATTCATACTGTGAATATTTACACGCACTCCAACTACATACAGATACGAGATAAGAACTTTATTTATCCTGAGGGAAATTCTTTTGTCATGAGCATGCTCACTGCGGCAGGAGGAAAGAAAAGAAAAAAATGAGTGCACATGAATAGAATAAAATAAAATAAAATAAAATAAAAATAACATACCTATCAATACAAGTGACATACGTCGCGCAATGAATAAAATAGTGTAGCAGCATATAATGGGAGAATGAGAGAAACATTCAATCAATAACAAACAGATGAATAATAGTATTGCACAATTGAGTAAAAGACGCATTACATTAATATTAATCCTAATTCATCTACAGATGACTCTTACACTGACTTACCTACACTTTTAAAAAACTACAACCAAATGATTTTTACTGCAAGAGTCCCAGTCTGAAGACTACAGCTGGTTTGTGTTCTCTGTGCAGCTGTGATCATCAGTGTGATGGATCCATCAGGGTCTGAATTCACTGCAGCAGCTTCGTGTCTGTGATGTAGTGGAGCGCAAGCCAGCGTTATGTTTAATCTGTTTCAGATAATTCACTGCAGGAACCTTCACAAAGTGCATTCTGGGTAAACCTTCAGGGCTCACATCAGCAGGTGGGATAGGTGAGAAAAGGTGAGAGCAGAAGAAAGTTCTCAAAGATCAGGAGCATCTTTCAGCAGTGACTCCTTCTGGATCATTATCATATGCCAGTGCAGGAATTTATTTCCACCGAGGAATAAATATTAAACAAACAAGCTAAAAAAACATGATAATTCATTTGTTTGAAAAGTAATCAGAATGTAGGTGCACCAGTATTTATCTTTTTGACAAAGTAACTAGTAATCTGTAGCCTATTACATTTGAAAGTAACCATCCCCATGCAGCAACATGCACCATTTAAGGAGAGGAATCCAGCAGCTCTCTAACTGTAGTTAGGGTTAGGGGGTCTAACTGTAGTTGGAGAGCTGCTGTACAGCTTAGTACTCTGTGAAAACTTACCTGTGTGTTTGCAGACCTGAGTCCTGTGCTTACCTGCCCGTCTCATCCTTCCTCTCAGGACACCTGTTGGTGATTGTTCATTGCGACCTGCCTTACCCAGTCTCATCCCGCCTGCCTTCACTTGCTCACCTGCTTGGAAACCTGGAACTCTTTCCTGGAGAAAATGAGGAGAAACTCACCTGCTGCAAGGAGACTCGACCTGAGTATGAAAGCTTTAAATCTCTTGACTGTGTTCTGCGTTTGAATCTTTTTGTGTTTAAATAGAAACCTCGGCTATATTTGACATGAACATGTACCAGAGTAACAGCAAATATATGACCAGAAATTAGGAGGAGAATAAGATCACAGCATATACAGACAACTGAAGAAAACAGAAAAGGGCAACACCATCAAATCAAAAACGCCCATCATCTGAGTGCACGTCTGCCTGAGTCACCCATAAGCAGAGCATCTCATAATGTGAGACCAAACTCGATTAAACAAGGAGTCCAGCTTCAGAGTTTTCTGTCTGGCTCTCTCTCTACCTCCATCAGACCGTAAATGCCACGGCAGCTCCTCTGCTGCTTGGTGACTCACCGGTCTGTCAAAAAACATTGAAGCTGGTGTTTAGCAGCACTCTGCCCCCGTTTTTATTGGACTGAAACAATGTGGGGAGCAGGCATGCCCCGTGGAGGGATAGGATTTCACCAGCAGGTCACTTCCGAGTGTTCCAGCTCAACTGTAAGCCACAAAAACACAGTTTCCCATCAGCGTTTAGAGGTTACACACCATCAGCCAAAACTTTTGGGCTGTTGCTGAGTGTGTGGAGCTTTTCTGCACATCAGCATTGCACAAGCAACACACCTGAACACAACAAAAGTCAGCAATTCCCCACCAATCAGACACAACCAGCATCTCACTGACTGTTTAAAGAAATGTGGCTGCCAGAGAGGGCGTAGACCAGGGGTCCCCAATCCCAGTCCACAAGGGCCGGTGTCCCTGCAGGTTTTAGATGTGTCCTTGATCCATCACAGCTGATTTAAATGGATAAATTACCTTCTCAACATGTCTTGAAGTTCTCCAGAGGCCTGGTAAAGAACTAATCATGTGATTCAGGTGTGTTGACCCAGGGTGAAATCTAAAACCTGCAGGGACACCGGCCCTCGCAGACTGGGATTGGGGACCCCTGGCGTAGACTGTACCTGCTGTCAGCACAGACACTGACAGACATTTGGAAAGGAAAGATCTTGGTTTTCACCCTGAATTCAGGACTTTGGTAATTTATTGATTTTTTTCTGAATGATCTCAGGTGTAAAATCTACATGAAGATTTTCTATGTATGAATGTCACATGACCTCAGAGGTTAAATCTCTGAGGAATGCAAGCATCAGTCTGGAGGTATCACTTCTCCAGACAGCAGTGGGGATGCTGATTATTACTTCACCTTCATTTCTCATCATACTCCCATCGCTGCGGAAGACGCGGTGACCTGGAAATCCTCTGGCATGCTGCCGGAAACAGAACGGAGTCTGCTCAGTCTCGTTCTGTACTCGTCTCTCCTCTGTGTCAGTCTTTTCTGTTTGCACACACGCTTGCTGCCAGTCAAACAGTTGAGTCGAAGCGTTCCTCTTTTTTTCCTCTGACTTTAATCTGAGTGCTAATTTCTGCACTGCAGCATCCTCTGGGACTGGATGCTCCCCTTGCCCACATTTAATTTCTTGTGCAGATTGGGGGATTTCATTGGCGACCTTCTGGTCACAAGCTGGCATCTGAGCCCCGAGGCCACGGCTGCTCGCTGTGTTTCTCTGTGAAATGACCCTCTCATGTTGTTTGGCTTCCTCGTCTGATTTGGACCATTTTACATCTGTCTAAACTGCATCAGATCGGCCTGTTCTGAAGTAGATTACACGGAGCCAGATGGCTTTGTGGTTCAGTGGCGTGCCCTTGTGAAGTGAACGAGCGAGGAGCAGCGGCGGGGAGGAAGAGGAGGGCGCTGAATCAAAACAGGAAAACAGCTCAAATATTTATGGAAAACACATTTTTACATGCCGCTGATTTCCATGTTTCACTCTCTGTGTTAAACTTTAGCAGCCCACTCCCTTCATTCAAGATCTCACACATCCGTTTCCACAGATTGGTGATGAAATAGAGGCCAGTGTAAAAACTGGTAATATATTCCTGTCACCCGAGATCAAACACAATAACTCTGATTCATTTTAAAAATCCTGCAGTTCCAAGTTAACGAGCAAATGGATGCGTTGCTGAGTGATTTGGGTGGATTGACCCTTTAGATTACTGGGGGGCAGAAAGAAAAACATGAAAAATATGATTTCCCACAACAGAATATTAAAACAATCATTTGAACAATAATCTAGTTTATTTCTGGTCTGTGGATTCAGCCTCTGCTACAAACCAGGATCAAAGTGAAGATCTTGTGTCCAACATTATAACATGAAAAGTAATGAATGGACTTTAAAACTTCTATGTTAGTGCACAGACACACAGCAAGCAGGTGAAACAGATCAAACGAATCACCCTCTGAGCTTCCTGTTTCCAGCTCTGAGCAGCTTCACCTTCTGCAGACGAGGACGAGCCTAAAGCAGAGGCGGAGTGGACGCGACTGTGTTAAAGTGTCTGAGGAGCAAAGTGATCCCAAGTTTCCTGCACACATGAATTCAGTTTTGCTCTTCGGTTATCTCTGGACTCCTGATGTCTCAGACCACAGCTGTACACATCTGTAGCTCACGTGTAAACCGTGTAAGTAACGGGAGCAGAGCTGTCGCAGCAGTCCTCTGAGGGCCAAAGGCAAGTCTCTGCAGCCCGCGTCAGTACGCTGACTTACAAAAAGCATCGTTCAGAGCCAGAGGCTGAGAGGATGGTGTGGACGTGACAGGACCACAGAGCGGCAGGGCGGGGTCACTCTGGAATTTATACGTCCACGCTTTATCTATGTGATGAAACTGTTTACCTACAGACTGTGACAAAGTGGCTAGGA